TCTTTCCGCAACTAAGATTATGTTTGGTAGATGGATTCAGAATTATGATTATGGATCTTAGTTCAGAATCAGTGTTTGTTTACAGTGATTTTGAATCATGATCAGAATCAATATTTAATTTGAATGATTTTGAATCATAATTTAAAATATAATATGATATTTTAAACTAGAATCACTCATAATTTTAAAACTAACAACTTCTTAATTTAAAATGATTTAAACTCTTAATTTTAAAATTATAATTTAAATCTAAAATTATAAATCATAATTATAATTTTAAAATTATAATTAAATAATTTTAATTTAAATTCTCGTATCAAATGAATCTTAAATCTTAATTTGAATCTGCAACGAGAAGGTTCCACTATTCAGCAAAAGGTTTTTTTCCGGCTTTTTTGAGTTTCTCCAAATAGGAAAAAAAAAAAAAAAAAAAAAAAAAAAGATAATTCTGACATTATTAATATCCAAAGCGGAAAAAAAGGGAAGATTTCTTTCGTACAAGTGTTTGTTGGTTGTTTCTGAATTCTGCGAAAGGAAGTTGGGAAGGTTCAGAGAGAGAGAGAGAGAGAGAGGCATGGGCTTGCGTAAAGGATAGAGAAGGATAACAAAAATTATGGCGTCGATGCTGACTCTACTTTGATCCAAACGAGAAATTTCAGATCTTTCTAGCTGCGTCTTCTTCTTCTATTGGTTTGTACTGCTATATATACGACAATATTTACACTCCAATGGCCTCGGCTCCTCTGATTCACGCGCGCTGTGGATACTCTCCCCGATTCACCGCCAATCGAAGAAATGGTTATGGCGGTGTGACTTCGTCCTCTTTTTCTAATTCTTCTTCTTCTTCGGCTTCGTCTTCTTGTTCATCGTCTTCCTCTTGCTGTTCTTCCTCGTCTTTGGGCTTCTCCTGTGGTAATTCCTTCTGTTCCGTCTTGTTTTCTTAGAATAGCTAAAATTTTGGGAGAGAATTCGAATTAGGGATTGGAATTTTGAATTGGAGCAAGGTTTGGGGATGAAATGAAAGGTTTTGCGTGAGTCTTAAATACTAGAAGCTCTTTTGCTGGATTTAGTAGAGGAAATATGTTAAATTCAATTGCTGATTGATCAGAAAAGCAAATTATTCATATTATACGACTATTCTTTACTAGAAATAGTGCAATCAAAAAGTATTTGTAGCCTCTAATCTGAGTGGTAACAGTAAAATTCTTTTATATGTTATAATTATGGCATTCTGTCTTCCAATGTGATTTTTTTTAACACCTTGAACGTTTTGTTGAGTGAATTCCGATTTATTTTGTGCATAATTTAGTGACAATTATCGTGAAAGATGTCTTACCAAGTGAACATACTCCAATTTTTCATTTTGGCTTGAGAGTGTAAGATAAAATTTTGGTGCAGGCGTAATCAATAGTTGGAGAAATCAAGGCCTTAAAGCTCAAGCTATGTCCATGACCACCGAAGGAAATTACGGCTCATCTAGAGGCATTGCAGACGGAAAAGATGGGCCTGATCATCTTCTTGTCCTCGTTCATGGCATATTGGCCAGGTACACACTGATCTAAGTACTGGGAAATTTGTTATGTGCTGAATTCCTGTGGTTTGTTTTGTTTTTTTTGTTTTTTTCCTTCACTCTGTATATTTGTTGTTGCAAGTCTTGTCTTGATTTTTCAGGATTGACTATATAGTGGATGAATATATGGTTAGATCTAATGACAATTCTTTTGTGGCGGCGTTTCACTGTTACATTTCTTCTGGCTTTCGAATCTTATAAATGTGATTTTAAGTTTTGCAGCCCAAGTGACTGGACATATGTTGAAGCAGAGTTAAAAAGGCGTCTTGGAAGAAACTTCTTAATTTATGGTATGTCCAGCTCCTTTATTTTCTGTTTATTTGATTTCATAACACAGATTGACAACTTTAGTTTTTTTTTTTTTTTTAATATTTGTGACTTAAATGTAAGAAGAATAACATTTGATTTAAATGTGGTAATTGAATAACAAAACTGAATAACAATGAGATAAACATAGTACTTGACTTAGTGTTTACTCATTAACTCTATCAAGAGTTACAACGCACTGCCTTCTCCAGGAACATAAGACTCATGCCAATGGTACATATTTCTCGTTACATAAAACAGCATGCATAAGAGGAAAGAAATGAGCTTCCCAGAAAAATAAATGGCTGTTGAAGGATATAATAATACTATAGGAAAAAAAAAGTTAGAGTTGGCCTTAAACAAGCTAGCATCTTATTTTTCAACTCAAGACATGTCATCATCTTAGGTGGGAAGAATTATTGTGTCACTTTTATTTATATATTTTTCTTTCCATTTGTCTATTATCTTCAGGGCAGGAAGTTTATGTAGGTTTTGATATTTTGCAGCAAGTTCATCTAACACGTACACTAAAACATTTGGTGGCATTGATATTTTGCAGCAAGTTCATCTAACACGTACACTAAAACATTTGGTGGCATTGAGGGAGCTGGAAAGCGGTTAGCGGATGAAGTGAGAATTTATAATCTTTGCAAAACATGTGTAGAAGTTTTGACTTCCAGTTTCATGTCCATTTAGGGCTCAATTTTGGACAATGACTTGATTTGGTTGCATTTCATTTGGCCTTCCATCATAAGTAGGTCATGCAGGTTGTGCAAAACACAGAGAGCCTCAAAAGGATCTCATTTTTGGCCCATTCTCTTGGCGGCTTGTTCGCTAGATATGCAGTTGCAGTTCTTTACTCTCCAAATACTCTGAATAGTTCCAAAAGTAATGATGTTGCAAATCCTACAATGCCAAAGCTACAAACAGCTTATTCCTCAAAACGAGGTTTGATTGCTGGGCTGGAGCCAATCAATTTTATTACCTTGGCAACTCCACATCTTGGGGTTAGAGGGAGAAAGCAGGTCTGTCCGGAAGGGTATAACTTATCAACTTTATTTTGTCAATTTGCACATGCTAATTTATTTATAACAGACCTAGGTTGCTATCTGGATTGGTTACCTTCTTCATCCTTTGCATGAGCTTAGTAGCTTACACAAATTAAAATCAGGAACTTTCTTACAGAGAAGATACCATTTCATCTCCAGAACTCTTTTCTGCCTTTTCATTGTAGTTGTCAAAATTATGAGTAGCTCAATATAAAGTACACAAACGTGAATGTGCACACAAGCACAATGTAGGCAAGTCAACTTTACATGGTTAGGAAGCTGCAGGTTCAAGAATAGTGTTAAGATACTCTCATTCACATTGACTGAAATGTTATTTTTCTATCCCTCTCAAAATAATTAATGTCAGCGAGCCTTTATGCTTAGCCTTCTTTTCCTTGGACTTTGATCATCTTGTGATTCTAGTAACTCTTGTTGATTCTCGATTCTTGAATTTCCTTGAAAATGTACTGTGGTTATTATTGTTTTCCCACTTAATTTTCTTTTATTGATCCTTGGGTGTCGTTCAGCTTCCATTTCTGCTGGGAGTGCCCCTCTTGGAAAAACTTGCTGCGCCGATTGCTCCTATTTTTGCTCGTCGTACTGGTAGTCAGCTGTTCCTTACTGATGGTAAACCTGACAAACCTCCACTTCTTTCAAGAATGGCCTCTGACTGTGAAGATGGGAAGTTTATGTAAGCAAAGCAGATAGTCTGTAGTTACTGGAACCTTCTTGTTCCCTAATTTTTATTTTTATTTTCTTTCATTCTTTTCCCTAACTAGTCTATGGCCTCATATGCTCTATTTTGCAGATCTGCCTTGGGTGCTTTTAGATCTCGCATACTTTATGCTAATGTATCTTATGATCGTATCCTCTCTCAAGATATTCTAAGCGTACTGAGATGACTAACGTACCATTCATTTCATTCATTTATCCTTTTTGATTGTATCAGTTTCTTAACATCATCTAGACATGGTTGGTTGGCGGACATCATCGATTAGGAGGGAAACAGAGCTTGTAAAGGTAATTTCCTAAACGTAAATGCTTGATTATCATGGTCCCGTTTTCATTAATGGATCCATAACTATTGACTTGATGGAAAAGTAAATCAAAAGAGTCAGTTGTTAGTGTACAGTATTTTATGGTTTACCCTTGAATGAGTTTGACAAGAAATATACTAAGACTACTGAATAAATCTTGTGATAAGTTATAATATGCTCGTTTTTAGATAGGAAAGGGAATGTGTTATTAAATAAGAGAGAATAAATATAAATTTAGCTATGTAGATGAGGGAGTTTCATTCTTTGGGAAGACTGATTAGATAGGAAGTTTACCAGAATTGGGAAGGTGGGATAGTAGACAATACTGCCTCAGAGGGTCGGTATGGCTCTTACCTAGCTAGCTTTTAGATTTGATTGTAACGAAAGGCTGGTTGCTAGGTTTATTTATAAAGATTTAAAGTGCGTGCATTTCAACTTATTTTCCAGCTGCTTTGTTATTTTATAGGTGCGATTTTATTATTAAGATTCTAACTTTTGTAAATGATGTTTTTTTCTTCAGTTGATGTAAGATATTTCATTCAACTTCTTTTTCCCTTTTGTGCAACTAAGCTATTGTAGCGAACAGTGTACCAGTCCTACAAAATTTTATTAAAATTTGTTTTGCCAGATAGTATAGTAGTTAAGTTATTCAAACAATAAATTATCCTTTTTTTAATATACACGAGTTTAACATATAAGCACTGTCATTGTAATAGCCACCTCGCCGGTCTTTGGATGGTTATAAGCACGTTGTAGATGTTGATTATTGCCCCCCAATTCCCTCTGATGGTCCACATTTCCCTCCAGAAGCAGCTAAAGCAAAGGAGGCGGCACAAAATGAGCCTAGCACACAACACACGGTAGAGTATCGGGAAATTATGGAAGGTAAAAGTGGATGCATCAATTGATAACAGGAATATCATAAATGTTATCTGATCGCTATGGTGTGATTTGAGTAGTTTTATATCTGGTTTGTGAACAGAGGAAATGATACGCGGCTTGCAGCAGTTAGGCTGGAAAAAGGTCGATGTGAGCTTCCATTCAGCGATGTGGCCCTTCTTTGCCCATAACAACATTCATGTAATGATCCCATTCAATATTTGCCGTCTGAGATGTTCGCTGCTTTTCGATTCTAATTTCGGTTGACATTTCTTAATCCAGGTGAAAAACGAATGGATTCACAATGCCGGCGTCGGAGTTGTTGCTCATCTTGCAGACAGCCTAAAGCAGCAAGAATCGTCTCAAATTGTTATAGCCAGCTTGTAGGTATGATATACTCATAAGTGGAAAATAGCTGAAGCATGAAAAGATATGCAGTTCGCGACAAAAGCCAAATTCTCCAGCCTTTGCTTCACTGCAAATCAAAGTGAAGGGAAATCTTGCAAAATTTCAATGCAATTTAGGCTTCATACTTGCTCTGTATCTACCTGTTATCATACGCCTCCTGATTATCAATTACTACTAGAAAGCCTATTCAGATGAAAATAAAATGTAAATTCATATATGTATGTATCCAAGATTAATTGAATTGGTCTTAGTTGTGTCAAGCTAAAGGTGGGACTGTAAGGCTTCAACCTTGTCAAATGTGAAGGAAACGTTTTGGCAGACTTTCATTTAGAAAAGGAAATAATGTCAAGCTAATAGATTTTAAATCTTCTTTGGGAACATCGTTAAATGCAAATGGTTGAGAGTCATTCCTTGAACTACTACGACGACCTGGTCCTTTAAACCTTTCTTTTATTATTATTATTAATTAAAAAAGAAATCAATGGTATCCTCATGACTTTCGTCTGCCAACATCCTGGGAGTCTAAGTCAAAGAAGGTTCCAGTCATATTTGGCAAGCCCACTGAGAGGTATAATTGCACCCTCATGGCAGATAAAGGGAATCGATCCCTGGTTGATGGAAGAGAGAGTCTTGGTAGGTCATATTCTTGTCGCTATGCCGCCGCCGCCACCGGTGATGAGTTTCGTGAAAATTTTACTTCCATGTTCATGACGTGATAATTTATAATTTTACAGACGTTAAATATGGATTGTCAGTTTCTAAAGCTATTAATATTGAGGATTTCTTGATGGAACTGTTTTTACAAGATCAAGCTAATGTTAAATAAGTGCTTATTTTTGTAAAATTTAGAAAACGACCTTAAAATCTAGAGCTCAAAACTGATAAATAAATAAATTCAAGAGTTAATAGGGCAAAAAGAAAAATTTATCGACCATATTAATAGACAAAAGCACTTCCTATATCAAGAGGTTTTCCTTATTTTTTTGTTTTTTCCTTCCTCGATCTTCTGAGTTTTTGGCTATTATTAATTGTTGAAATGAATGGAAATGGCCAGAAAACTAGTACAAAAATTAATTTCTTCGACAAAAGAATTCTTACTTAAAAAAGAAGCACAGAGTTTGTTGTGCCCTCAAGAGTCAAGGCTCAGAAGTCTTGGTTTATTGTTCTTATTATATTATTTTTCCCATCACTCAAGGTATTGAGAGGTTGAGAATCGTGATGGCTTCATCTCAAAAAAGAAAAAAATTAAAAAAGGAAAAACTAGCCAAGAAAATGCAAGGAAAAGACATGTAAATTAGCTTTGAAATTTTTGGAATCTATTTATTGTCAATCTCTTTATAGGCAAGTCACTAATTCTAAATTGACACTTTCAAGGCATTAGAGTTTTGATGTATTAATCTTTGGAGCAAGATGAAGGGTAATAATATTTGTCAACAAGCCATAGCTGTCCCTATTTATTATCAGTATACATGAATGAACCATCTCTTCTTCTACATACAATATAATATTCCTTTGCCGGTTAACCAGTTGACCCAATCATTATGTTCATACGCATTACAATAACCTTTTATTGTAACTTTTGATTACAGTTACAATGTAAGAAAAGCTTACTAAAAAAATGTGTTTTACTCGTGTTTTCGTCTAAAAAATGTCTTAAAAATTAAACTAATGCATGGTGGATGTGGAAACTAATCAAATCAATATATAATTTTTAGTTGAGTTGTGTAAAATAAATAGATAAGGGCAGAGTATTTATGCACACAAGTGTGCATTTTCAGTTGCTTAAATCAGAACAGGACAAGCCCACCCCAGTGCCGGTCATAGTTTGACAACGTGTCCTATTAGTATTCTCACCGTAATAACCAATACAACTTTTTTTTTCTTAAAAGAAAATTAAAAAAAAAATAAAAGGAGAGAGTGACATGTGCAAAAATAATGTTTTTTATGGCAAAAATAATGTTTTCAAAATCATATTTTCAGTAGCTTCACTCCATTTGCTATTAAAAATTAGTTTCATCCACACAAAAAAAAGTCAATTGATTGGTTTTTATTATTTATAAATGGGATCAAAATTGTTGATTAATAAATCATCTCTCTATCAACATGTTTAACTTATTAAATTTTAGGGACTTTCTCCAGTTTGATATGACCTTTTTATCAGTGTAGTCAGTTTTTTACAATTAGATCTTATTAAAATCACATCAAATTACAAAAATATATAGAACATATAGTTTTTGATACAGATCTAACAACTGAAATAGAGTATTATCAGTAAATATTTTATTTCTTCTTGTCCTAGCAGAAAAAACTCCTTAATTTTTAATCATATAAAAGTTAATTTTGAAAATTAAAATAATTTTAATTTATCAAAAGTAAAAGTATTTGTTTAAAATAGGCTATTAGAAGGATAATCTACCATAAATTTTATAATAACACAAAAATATATATATATATTTTTTAAAAAGATTAATTTGCATGATGGTCTCAAACTTTTAGTACGTGGCACTTGTGGTTCCATTCCAAGAAGAGGAGGCTTTACTTCTTCTTTCTGGCACTCTTGTTAAACTTCTTTTGAAACTTATCGACCTTGTCATGAGGCCCCATTGTGAGTCTTCCAATCCTACCTTGAGCACCCCCATCATAAATGCAACCCACCCGAGCGTAACCGGGTCACAAGCACCCGACGCAGTGGGCCCTCCCCATCGTGAAACCACCACCTACCTCCATCCCCTTGCATGTTGGCTCCTATCTCTCTCTTTAATCATATGATTTATCTGTGGCTTAGTTTTTGAGATTTGTAGCCCTTTTCTTTTTATTATTTTGAGGATTGTTTATCTTGATTTTTCGTTAAATTAAGAAATTTTTTTTTTCAAAATATCCTCCTATCGTAGATAATTTTCTTAAAAACCTAAAGAATTTAGCAGAAAAAACTTTAGTTGTAAACATTTTGAGAGTTTGGAGATTGTTTATGTAAAATTAATTTGCATGCACCAAAGTATCATTTTTTGGGCATTTTCAGTGTAATGTTATAATTAATATGCTAATCACAAAATTTAGTATTTGAGTACAAAAAAACTATAATACAATATTATTTGTTGTGTCAAATTTGTCATATACTATACTTTGTGATAATTTCTCTTCAAGTATATTGACAAATTTAGTATTTGATTACTATTATTTGCTATGTACATTTTTCCTTTGATCATTGCAACATTTACATTTTTAAATTAGAAAATTAAAAATTTATTTTTACAACTTTTAGAACTTAATGAAAAAGCTCAACTCTCCCTCTCCCTAAAACTTTTTCTCCTCCTTCTCTCTAAGTTTCTCTGCCAACATTTTTCCTTTGGCCGACGCGCCGGACCTCTAGCCATAAAAAGCTTATCCCTGATCTCACAGCGAGACGATGTACAAGGTGATGAGCTCCGTGTAACCAGAAGAGGTGGCGCTTCATCAGATTTGGCATGTGAAGGTATGAGTTTCAAGGTGGTTTTACACGATTTTCAGAGGGTGTTTGCCTGCCGTGGACTATGGAAACTCATGGACAGACTTGGGGGAGTTACTTACTCGTGGTGTTCACACCATCACCAACCAGATCTCTCATGTGTAGATTGTGGATTTGTATATAGTTTTTTGTATTTTGTTCTTTATTTTGCTGTAATAATGACGATGGTTTCCCTATCCCTCAGTGTATTCTTCAAGCTAGAGGGTGGTTTCCCCACCTCTCTCAGTCCGTGGTGTTTTCTCAGCCAACAATTGGCTTCCTCACCACTGCCAGTCTGAGGTATGTGTGTATATGTGAGGTTCATTACATGACTAGGATCTGGCTCACTTTGAGTCGATTTTCCGAAGCCAAATGTTATAAAGCCACTTTTGGAAGGTGTCCTTCCCGTTATTGGATTAAGGGTGTGTTTCTAATGTCTAGTCTCGTGAGCGACACCCGTTTCTATGACTTTGGTGCAATTATGTATTCTAGCCATTTGGTGGTCTTTTAATGAAATTGCCATATTTACCTTAAAAAAATGATTATGAGAAAAATTAAATTTAACATTTCAAATAGGATTATGTATTAGAGTACAAATTTAAATAATATATATCTTATTATACTTGTTGATGTTAAATATACCATTAATGTTAGAGCATCTATAATACAATGTTATAATTGATGTGAGAATTGTAAATATAACATTTGAGTACAAAAAATACTCTCCAATGCAATACTATTTGTTGTGTCAAATTTTTCATATGCTACACTATATTACTAATTTTTCACTAAATATAACATATGAAAATTGTTATTGGTTAAAATGTTTAATTTTTCATATAATCATTACAACTTTTATATTTTCTAATTATTTTAACCATAAAAATTTATTTTTACAACTTTTAAAATTTAATAATTATAAAAAAATAAATTTAATATTTTAAATAATATTTTATATTAAAACAAAAATAATATATCATATATCATATTATATTTTTTAATAATAAATATATAATTAATATTAACATTTATGTTCTTAAAATTTATTAATATTTTTTTTATAAAAAATATATATAAATTAAAAATAATTTTAAATTTTAATTCTAAATTCATAAATAAATCCGAGCGACTATTAATGCATATTACTCAAAGAAATAACATAAACAAAAAAAAAACTCAAAAAAATCAGAAAGAATATTAAAAAATTAAAAAAAAACTTTTTGAAATTCCACCTTGCAATCCTGACCCTACACCCCATCATTACATCAGGATCTAATCCCACGCGCTCGTCGCGAATCATGATGACACTCCGTATCGAAGGCCATGATTATCGAAATGCAGCCGACGAGTGCATTCACGCTCCTGTGGAGAGCGTGGAAACAAGAACGAGGGATGGTCCGGTATTAGGTTGTCCACCGCGCACTCGGTTTTCCTTTTCCCGGCCCCCTTCGGCTCTTCCCAATCGGTCCCCCCTTTCTTCTTTAAAGAGAGAGAAACTAGAGGCAGAGTGTGCGTGTTAGAAACAGAGAAGAAAGAGTCACTGCAGGTTGATACCAGAGGAAGAAGAAGAGATCGGCCATGGCTTCAACCAAAGAAAGAGAGAACTTCGTCTATGTCGCCAAGCTTGCCGAGCAAGCCGAGCGCTACGATGGTTTCTCTCTCATCTTTACCGTCTCTCTCTCTCTCTCTCTCTCCCCCCCCCCCCCCCTTTTCTCT